CGTTAAGGGAAGAACATAGACTGAGGGTGTTTGAGAACAGGGTGTTGAGGAGAATATTTAGACCGTAAAGAGATGAAGTGACAGGAGGTTGGAGAAAACTACATAATTAGGAGCTTCATGACTTGTACTCTTCTCCTAGTATGATCAGAATGATCAAGTCAAGGAAAATGAGGTGAGCAGGGCATGTAGCACGAATGGGGGAGAAGAGGAATGCATATAGGATATTGTTGGGAAAACCAGAAGGAACGAGACCACGGGAAAGACCAAGGTATGGGTGGGTGGACAATATTAAAATGGATCTTAGAGAGATAGGATTGGATGGATCTGGCTCAGGATAGGGACCAATGGGGGGCTCTTGTGAACACGGTAATGAACCTTCGGGTTCCATAGGATGTTGGGAAATTCTTGAGTAGCTGCAGAATTTGCGGCTCCTCCAGAAGGGCTCAGCTCCGTAAGTAAGTAAGTATGTGTATATATATATATATGAAAAGTTCTGCTAACAGTAAGTTTAACGTTGCCTGTGATTACTTGTTGCTATTGGTGGTACAGGAGGGGTGGGGGTTACTGGGGTTCAACGACCCAGTAGGTGATATTTGTGGGGAGGGGAAAGACATGAAGATGTCGCTTCATTTGTGGAGAACTGTTTGGCTTTTGAGAAGTCCGAGATAAAGGATTGGGCTTCAGGTGGTTTAATGCTTTCCTTTCGTTTATAAACCGCGTAATTTCTAAAATAAAAGATCCTCGTATATTTAAAAACGTTGTTAATACGACATCCGCGTAATCCGAAGAACGCGTAATAAAATCCGTGTAAATCGAAAAGACGCTGTTAAATTAATATAATAAACAGGATTTTAGGCTTTAAGACGTAGAGTGTTAATCATGTAATTACAATTAGTCGATGGAAGTAAAAGTTGCCTTGGAACAGGTTTTCACTTTCATCAACGTTAGTTATAATTCATTCAGTAAGACGATCGTTTTGTTCTTTATTAACGTAGTTGCTTCGTGCGTGACGGCGTAAGAATTCTTCTGCCTATGAAGGTAAGATAAAATAATGCAAGCCAAGTCTACCAGATAATCTATCGTCCTTAATAGTTTAGAGTCCGTGTGTCGATTGTCTAGAAAATGTGGGAGCCTCGACGTCTCAAAACCCAGTGGGCCTCCACGGCCTGTTACAGGGATAGCGTTGCCTTTTTTTTTTTTGCCTCTGAAGACCAGTTTCCTCTTACAATCACTTCCAATGGAAGCTTTAAACCCGCTTCATTAAGATATGGTAAGAATTGGTGTAACCTCAGTGAGTACAGGGACTAGGCTGAGATCTCGGAGCCGGTGACCTGATTTCCTTCAGGAGCAGAAATTTTCTCTTCTCCGCTCTCAGACTGCTTTTGGGGCTAACCCACACTCTTGTCCGGTGGTTACTGGGAGCATTTTCCCCGAGGCTAAAACGGTCGGATCGTGAAAATGACCGGTCTCCTCTCTCTAATGCCGAGGTTTAGGCACAACTTTATTACTAAGCTAAGGGATACAATAGTACTTTTCTAATGAAACATTACCTTGAGGTTTATGCTGAAGGAATATATGCCATAAGCAGGAAATCTTTGAAACATATGCTGCACTGTGCCACAGTAATGATAGCAGACATCTTGACCTCCTGTCTAATTGTGCGTTTCTTTATCTTCAAAGAAGGTTGATGTAGATAATATAAGGAATTTTCATTTCAATTAGGATTGAAAATCAACTCTGCCGTATGCAGTAATTACTTGGATTACACAGAGACCTTTCTTTGTGGCCGTGCTATAGCTCAAGCGATTAGTCGCTGGCTTCCCACCGCGGCGACCTGGTTCGATTCCGGGTCTCTTCAAGTGGGATTTGTGGTGGACATAGTGGCGCCGGGGCAGATTTTCTCCGTGTGCTTCGGTTTCCCCTGCCAATCATCATTTCACCAATTGCTCCACAATCACCATCACCTATCATCTGGGGCTGGTACAATAGGTCAGATGTAGCAGCAGTACAAGGGACTTAGTCCCACCCCACTAGCAATAAAAAACATGTAGGATGCATAATGGAGAGTTTATTGTAGTAAGAACCAGCCGATCCTTTTGAAGCATTATCCTAAAAAAATGCATAATCTGTCAAATTTAGGCGCATTTCATGTAGTTTATTCAAGATCTTTAGTGCAAACTCTCATCGTCTAGAATAGAACTTTATGAAAAGACGTAGAATTTGGCCAAATGTGGAGCGTAAATTAGAGTGACATATGTAAAAATGAGGAATTTAAATCTCTCTTTCATATAAAATTGCACGTGTAATTGTTTAGATTTGTGATAGGTACCACGAGAAAAACTTGCAGTATTTTAAAAGCCGAACATGTCTACCATTCTCATACTCAGTACGCACCTGTATTAATGGAACAATAGTGACGCGGAACCGGGTTTGTGTGAGTTGCCCCCGATGGCCTGCGCCATAGAGAAGTAGGACGCAGATCTCTGGGCTGCACAACTGGTGCCCTTGACGAGTTCCGCGACCGGCGCTCGCAGGATCCTGTAGTTTACCTCTTCCGGATTTACCTTGCTTACCATGACGTTCTGGAACCTGGACGTGAGCGCCCATATCCACTCCTTGCCTGAGCGGTCACGAATCACCTAGAAATTTCACGTGGCAATCATTAGTCAAGAATCATGAGGGCTGCTTCGAAGTGAGGTACTGTGAAGGATTCTATCTTCCGGTATGTAACAATATGTAACTCCGTGGCCTGTAGTCCGTAAGCGAACTATACCGACCTATCGACCGCCGTTTGTCGGCGAAGTTAGTTCCAACTTAAGCGGATAGAGGGTGTTGCGTGGTCAGCGTAACGAATCCCCACGGCTGTCGATTGCGGTTTTCAAGACCGGAGCCGCTATTTCCTTGATATAGCTCCTCAGTTATCCTCACGAGGTTGAGCGGACCCCGTTCCAGACCCAGTACTTCTCAGAAAATCTGGTAGCGCCGGGGATCGAACCCGGACCTCTGGATCTGTAGCCTGGAGCTCTGACCACTAGACCACAGAGGCGGTCTATAACACCATGGAGTCTGTTGAGAATCGAATGACCATGTCCTTTCTATCCTCAGGGTTGAAGTGTCAGCCAAGCAAGGCACAAGCGTAAAGCAGACAGCAAGCTTGGCTTATTCTTCAGTCCTGAATATAGGACAAGTTCTTCGAAGCATCGTTTGTCTTTCAATGGACTACCGTGCCTCTACATCCCAAAACATAGAACCACAGCTCTGAGCCTCTCACGTCCTACAAGTTGCTGTGTATTGTTTTTTTCTTTGGTGCTACAGCCCCAAATTTTGGCCTTGACCTATCTCCATGAAACACTCCATTTCACTTCGGTTTACTAGATCTTAGATTTTCGGTAGGACTCCTTGGGCGGATGATCAGCTCGTCGCAAGGCCTCTGCTTGTACACAAACACAGAAAACCGCACATACACACAGGCACCAAACATCCATCCCCTGGCTGGGTTTCGAACTCACGCTCCCGGCTTCCGAGCGAGGGAAGATAGTGCACGCCTTAGATCACTCGGCTACCGTGACCGGCGCTGTGAATTGTTAGTATTAATTTAATTCAACTAAATATTTGTTCGCAAATATCAATAAATATATTACATACCATAAATATGTCACGTACAATGCGGTTGCCTTTCATGTGTTCCTGAAGACCACGCGTTATTCAAGACAAATTTTCTCATACTCGTAGGGATAATAATAATAACAACAACAACAACAACAACAACAAAAACAACAGCTCAGGATCAAGCAATCAGTACAAACTATTTTAAGAGAAAAATACTGAAAGGAGAGACATCGGAAGTAAATGTCGACTGTGTAAAGAATACGAAGAAACCATAGACCATTTAACATCAGGATGTCCCGTTTTGG